GACCATGGTTGTTATAGTAAGAATTAAAAATACACAGGGATCTCAGAACAGATGAAGATCAACTGGCTTCAAAGTCAGAGTCAACTTCTAGTTAATAGAGATCAGGAGGAAATTTATCCGATGGTAAATTCTGTAACTGCTTTCTCCAAGATTTCTTGCATCTTTCTCCCAAGTGTCCGGCAGTGCAGTTGCTCTAGATACTTGATGAGATGGACTACAGGATAGCTGTGTCTGTCTGCTTTGGTCTAGCTTCAAATGCCTGTATAGAGGTTTTTTTGAATGTCAAACGATAAGATGACCACAGTGGAGAACGTTTCTTCTTCCGCTTCATTAATGCAGGGCAAGAATAAGTAGAATTTCAGCATAATTTTGCATGAAAATTCAAAATGGTTAATTTGATTAGTTAGTTTTAAGTATAGATTTGGCTAAAGAAGAATTAAAGTTGAAAACCACTTTGGACTGGTTTGTTAACGTTTCTTCTGAGCTCTGCGTTTTATGCCCTCTCCTCCCGTGTTTTTATTTTACTTTTTTATGTCATACTCCATTTCTAAGGCTCTGATATCTTTGGAACCAGTTCATAATTAAAGGAATGAATAATTCAGGTCACTGGCAATTTACAGTTTTCTCTGCTTTGCTGTCTCTGGTGGAGTAACTAAATGTGGGAGATAAAAGGAATCAAAATAAGGTTTACATCATTCATCCAAGTAGTCCATAAAGCATAGGTATTATTTCTTGATCTATATAGCTTACAAAGGACTAACAGCACGTTTGGAGGCAAGATCAGACTCTCACCAGATGCAGTTCTATATTCAAACAAAGGAATGATGCAGGTGGCCAGAGAAGGTGACAGACCAAACAAATGGACTTTTCCATTTCCATTTCTTTCTTCCCACTGTGCCAAAGTCACCACGTGCCTCCTGAAGCTGTCCTCCAGTCCTGCTTTGGCTCCCTCTGGGAAGGAGCTGCTCCGTTTCAAGTGAGGCTGGAGCCACCTCCTGTTAAAGAGTTGTCCATCCTCCCAGTGGAAGGACAGCCATCACAGGCAGCAAGACTGCCAGACCACAGCAGAAGCACTGAAAAGAGGATGTTTTGATGGCAAGAATCATCCTTAGGTGATGTTAGATTACAAAGGCCATCATTGTAGCACCGTTTGCCTTTTCCTTCCCTAATTTTCCCCAAATGTCTAATGTGTAACAAAAGAACAGTTTTCTACATTATGCTTTCTTTTGGTAAGCTGCAAGTGTAACACAGCCAGCTCTAGGGAAACGTCGTGAGGTATGTGAACATGATGTCTGATCAGAAGCATGTGAGCAGTACTGCTGGAAAGAGTAGGAATATTCACAGGCTTCACTTTTTAGAGTTGCATTTAATTACCTTGTTAATCAGGCCTAAGTTCCCAACCAAAAGTGACACATCATCTCCAAGGATAACCTGATTGTTCCATGGGTAATGTAAAATTATTTCTGTCTTTATGCATCGCTTTAAGATAAGCTGCACTAAGTGGAATGAATTATTACAGTCAAAAATAAAATGCTGAGTGATAGCTGTGTTGAAATGTACTAATGCTATTTGGAAGAGATTTGGGATTACAGTTCTGTTTCTTTCTTATGGTAGTTTATACACATTTTGTTCCAAGTAATTTTGGCAAAAGGTGATAGAAGTTTCTCGAGTTCTTTAATTCTTGGGTAGCCAAACCAGTTATATGCAGTGACTCCTTGAATTTCTTAGCTTACACTATTGAAGAAAAGTCTGGGTTTATGTACCGAGGCAGTGAAAAGTAACAAAGACAATGAAAACCACCGAAAATTTTTTATCAGACTTTGTAAAATAGGCTTAAAAAGTTAACTGTCAACAACTAGCTAATATTTGTGTGTGTGAACGCATATGAGCACGTGTATATCTTGTATCTTACACATGTAGTTACACATACAACCTTTTCTACTTAAAAAGAAGAGTTATTATATGAGCTTTGCTTGTACTGACGGTCTAAAACCATTACTGGAAAAGCAATGCTGCTGAGCTGACCCTGGTGTAAGTAGTGGTAAATTGTGAACTTCAAAGGAGAGCTGTGATACGTAACGTGCCCGGTGACTATCATAATTTACCAGCATGTGGTTCTGGTTTCGCATATCTGTAATTCCATTGATTCGAGAAGGTTACAAGGATGTGAATTTGGATTCACGCAGTGATGAATCAGGCAGCTTCATCATCATTATGTATTTGTTTATCCCATGTCAATGAAAGTTGCTTTTGCCTTTTACCAAATGAAACTAAGCTATACATACGGTTTCTCTGTTTTGTTTTCTTGCCTAAATAGGCATTGAAGGGGGAGTGTATGTGTCTTTTTTTCATCCAAAACATTGGGATAGAATTTTTTTTGGAGGAGGAGGAGGAGGAGAACCACAAAGATCTTGTAGCCTGAACACGAGATGGCAGGTCAGCCCCCAGTGCTCCTGTTACTTGCCACATGCAGTCATTTTATATTTTTTCTGCTTGAGGGATTGGGGATCCCTCTGCTTGAGGTTGAGGGATTTGCGTATCGTGGCTCTAAAGATGCTGCCATACCAGCCCCCTGTACCTGTTGCACCTCAGAGTGCGGGGGACATGTGGTACTGCCTCCTTTAATTTTGGGGAGAGTACGTCTAATGGTATAAACCAACGGAGCTTCATTGACCCTCGGTGCTTCAATCCCATTTTCTCCCAGTTAACATGTATTTCCTAACTTGAAGCAAGGGCACAGTCAGGCCCAGTGGAAGGTTTGGAATTGGTCTGGAGGTCGCTGCAGCCACATGCTTCACCTGGAATAAAAACAGAGCTGTTGGTGAGGTTGCTGGTTTACCCATCTCAGGACAGAAACTTTGTAGAAGGTCAGTAATCAAGTAGAAGGAGGCTAACTTTGGAGTGTGGAATGAATGTCACCCCAAATCAGGGGTTTTCTGTCCCTCGCCCCCCCTTTTACAGTGAAACCTTGGAGTGATTACATTGATTTTTCTCATTCATTTGCTCTTGTCCCTTAGGTGAAAAGCTCATGAGATTTGGCTATCCAGATATTCCCTTTGATATGAACCTAACCTATGAGAAGGAGGCTGAGCTGATGCAGTCTCACATGATGGACCAAGCCATCAACAATGCAATCACCTACCTTGGAGCTGAGGCACTTCACCCCCTGATGCAGCACACACCAAGCACAATTGCAGAGGTGGCCCCGGTCATCAGCTCAGCTTATGCTCAGGTCTATCATCCCAATAGGATAGAAAGGCCCATTAGCAGGGAAACAGCTGACAGTCACGAGAACAACATGGATGGCCCCATCTCCCTCATCAGACCAAAGAGTCGAACCCAGGATAGAGAGGGCTCCCCCAGCAATAGCTGCCTGGATTCTACTGACTCAGAGAGCAGCCACGAAGACCGCCAGTCCTACCAAGGAAACTCTGCCTTAAATCCCAAGAGAAAGCCAAGCCCGGCTTATATGAAGGAGGACGCCAAGGCTTTGGATGCCACAAAAGCTTCGAAGGGCTCTTTAAAGGATATCTACAAGGTCATCAACGGAGAAGGGGAGCAGATCAGGGCTTTCAAGTGTGAGCACTGTCGCGTCCTTTTCCTGGACCACGTCATGTACACCATCCACATGGGCTGCCACGGCTACCGGGACCCGCTAGAGTGCAACATCTGTGGCTACCGAAGCCAGGACCGCTATGAGTTCTCGTCGCACATAGTCCGAGGGGAGCACACATTCCACTAGGCCTTCTCATCCAAAGGGGACTCGTATGAAGTAGAACTGCACATGAAGAAATACTGCACTTACAATCCCACTTTTCCTCAGACATTGAGACACCTATTTTGTTGTCGTTGCTGTTGTTGTCGTTGCTGTTGTTTAATTATTATTATTAACCTTATTTTTTTGTGGACCCAACCTCATTTGCTCTGCCCAGCTTAAAAATGGAAAGGAAGGGAAGGGGTAAAAGAGGGGTTTGTCGTTGCTGTCACTTTTTGGGGAGTGACCCACCTCGCTTTCCGTGGGAATTGAAAGGCAGTCCGTTTCTGTCTCCATCAGTTGTACATCGTGTCCTGTTTTGGGATATCCCTCAACCCTGCTAGGTGCTTTAAAGTCCTGATGAGATGCCATTCATTTACAGTTTCAGATGAATAGGTACAAACATTTCAGAGGAGAGCCTTTTTCAAACGTGTGGGTGTGGTGTGGGGTTTCGGTGGCTGGAAGAGGAAGGGGGGCAGAATTTATTCTGCAGAATGAACAATTAGTTTCAAAGCAAAACTGTTAGGGATTTAGGAGCACGAATCAAAGTCAATATTCCTTTCAAAATTACTTTCTAGGATGAGCTGTTTTCCTGGGTTCAGTATGTATTGCCCCTCTAGAATGTGGGGTTTTTTTAAAAAAAAAAAAAAAAAGGAAAAAAAAAAATGTATGTCTTAACACTGTACCACATTACAGCAGTTTAGTTTCATAAGTCTGAGGGCCTTCTGTGGTAAGTCTGAGGCTTGGTATTTTTATTTTCCTTAACTGATGAAGCACCTTTTTTAGAATTGTTGATTTGCTGTTACTCCATGCCGATGTGTTGACTCACTGGCTTCTTAGAGACCCTTGGGAGCCTTACTTAGTTAGTTGCACCCTATGTTTTAAGAAATAACATTTAGAAATAACGTTTAAACTTGCTTCTAGGACGGCCAGTGGCCTAGGAGTGGGTGAGAGTCTGTAGTTTACTCGAGAGGTTCTGCTGCTCTTCTGAAATAATTTTGTTTTAAAATTACGGATTTTAAAATGACAGAAGTACTAGTAACAAAGTATTCTTTAAATATAGGTATATATAGATACATAATTATATAAATACTTTCTCATCCTATTACCACAGTGTTAACCTCTTGGCAACAGCCTAAACTAAGACTTGCAGCTGGAAAAATGCGAGAAGCCAGATCCTTGGCCAGCATTAATCCTCCTAGCTCCATTGAATTTAATGGAACCACCCCAACTACTTCAGCTACACGAAGATCCGAACCTTGACCATTTTTTTTCTCTTGTTCATGTCTTATTTGCTGAACTAGTGACTTCCTTTTGTTTTTAATTCATCGATTCTGCTTTAATTTAGGAGGGGAAGCGTTTGCAGGTTTTTTGGCTCTTGGAGGTCACAGAAGCCCTGCAAATGAACAGATCACATATGACCTTTCCTGCTTCTCCAGAAAGTGATACATGGAGATGGAGATGGGGATGCAGGTGCTGTGCTTCGATTTGGATTCGCAGATTTCATTTTTATTCCAAATTTATTAATTTGTCTGTAGGGAAGAGAAATGGAGAAACAAACTCCAGAGCAAGTCCTTCAACTACAGACTGGACAAGAGAAAAAAAAAACAACAACATACCCATCTGATTTGTTTCCTTTCTTTGTCTCCCAATAAATAAAAAAGCCAGCAACCACCCAGCAAGTTGCAGGTTGCATCAGTAAAAACTGGGCTTAAACCTACGTGACAGATTGCCGTTGAAACCCAACTGTTTGTACCAATCACAATTGAAATGTTGTTGTTTGGCAACAAGAACACGGCTTGAGAATGGAAAGATCTGCATGGGTTTAACCCCCTCCATGCACACAGTCTCCATGCGCTTGGCGAGACCTTTTCCAAAGCATGAAGTTACTAAAGTATAAAAGAGAGAGCAAGATCAGGCCATAATGAATTCCCATCTGCTCACTTCAATCTGCGTACTCGATGCATATGCCAGTTTGCTGTTCGTTTTGAGGGTACTGGTTTTTTTTTTCTTCTTCTCTCTTCCTAGACCTGGAGCATTTGAAAGCAGGAGCTGAGTGGTATTGATTGAAATCTTTTTATGGTGACATTCTTGGCAGCTAGAATCTGTGTTTAGAAAGGATACAGTAGATCATGGCCAGATTACCTGATGACTGCTTCCCAGCACTGAAATGCTATTAAGTAGGAGCTGGTAAAGTCTTGCAGTAGCCTATTAATTATAATACAATATGGAGAGAAATGTCATCTTGTGTAATGTGAGAGCTATCAAGGCTGGAAATATATGGGCTTTGGAGAGACAGATTTAAAGACCTATTCCCAACATTGTTCTTAATGCCGTTGGGTTACTCCCCCTCTTTCTTTCTTTGTCCTAATGTAGAGGAAACTCAGGCACATGAACTGCTGCCGTCCTCCAGACCGTTCTCATTTTCTCGTGCTTGGTGCAGTCAAAGGAGTTTGTGCAGGAGGAAAATGAGGAGATGCTGGAGGGCATCACTTTTATTCCATATGGTTGATTCTCTGTAGCTATGAAGGTTGGCTTAGGAGGCAGCTGGCCATGTTCTGCATCAGGATGTGCTTCAAAATTCAAAAAGGGGAGTTGCTTTTACAGCATGCCACACACACACACCAAAAAAAAAAAAGCGATTGTGATTTCTGCCGAGGCAGGAAAGGTCTTTTAAGAACAATGTGCAAAGGGAAGGGTGCTGGGCCTGGAGGTCCCTGGGCTTGCACGGGCCTCCAGAAGGACACGTGCCTGAAGCGGAGAAAAGGGTTGCCGGCAATCTTTTTTGGTCTCTGAGGAACAGCGCTCCGTTTTCCCCTCTGCGGTCAGCGCAAGGAATACGGGCTATGGTTTCTTGGAATAGTTGGCACTAGGGAAAAAAGTCTTACAAAACTCTGCCTGTGTTCGGGCGAGCACCGGCGTACGGGAAAGGCAGAGAATCTCTTGTGTATCCACGGATAAGTTGGCTGCAATTACATCTGCAGTTCGTTAGTGTGCACTTTCACTCATTGATGGTTCATTGATACCTCCTGTAGTGCATATTCTGTGGATATTTAAAAGATCAGACAGGGAGGCTCCGTGCTTTTGTCACTGGCTTCAGTTAAGCCCAACTTCTTGCGTGCGAGATCTGCGAGTGAGCACTGCTGTGTCCTGCTATCACGGGCACAAGGAACTGGACAGGCAGGGGAGACACATGCTGGTTTAGTTATCTTCCAAAAACTGCTTTTTTTTTTTTTTTTTTTTAAGAGGAAGAAGCTGGGGAGTTGCATTAGTTTTTATTATCAATGTCCATTTTTGAACACTCACTGGAGTTTTTCATTCTAGAGCTAGGGAAAGGAGAAAGATTAAGTTCTAGTTCAGATTTTGAACAAAGTTTTGGACTAGCATTTATCGTAGCGTTCACTTCCTACTGAATATTATTGGAGGGTTTTATATAAAGCAGTTTGCCCCTATGTGGAAGTGTGTGAAATGGGGCCATGGAGATTTTTTTTTTTCTTTCTTTCTTTCGTGCTCTCTGCAGATTTCTAAGAAAAGCTCTTGAGTTTTGTTGAGTTCATTAGTCATTCACGCTGTACTAAGAATTTCAGTAGATAATCCTTGGCCTGTGGATCCATTTGTTCTAAGTATTTGGTCCTGGAAATTGAACCTGACTGATTTTTATTGGACTCTATTGAAATTCTTGGAATCAGGCTTCCAGTTAAAAACATGCATTTGCAAATTTAGAATTGGCTTCCTGCGAACATTCCCCATTTTCATTAAAAAGAAAAAAAAAAAAAGCCATTTCTGCACACTTCACTGCCAGTAAACACTTTCGCTTCTTTTTACATCAAAAATGGCAAGAATCTGACTCAATTTAGAGTATTACAAGCTTATTAATTGAAATAGAAGTGTGACTGCTTCCTCTGCTCTCCCTATGATCCATACTCTTGGAGCAAAGGGCATTATCTATATATCTGCTGTTATGGCCAATGAATTTTACAGCCATCTCTCTTTGCAATCAGTTAGGAGCACACATCAAAATATATAGCATTTTTCAGTAAAGCCAGCTCTTTACTCAGTAACTTATGGGATTAAAACAATTTTATCCTCCTTAAAAAGTGCTTCCATCTATGATGCGATGTGAAAGGTATCCAGGCATTAACCTTTATTGGTCTCTATTAGAGAGAAAGGATCCGAGTTTGTTAATTGGCCTGATTTTTTAATGATAGTAGTTTCTACAATGTGAGGACACGGCTCACAGTGTAGTCATGTGGAACTAAAGTGTATTTACTACAAGGTGAAGAAATTCTTGATTTTAAGAGTTTCCAAATTTCCGTTTACAAGGGCATTCCTAAATTGAAGCTGTCAGGCAGAAGAGGAGGCCAGGAATTAAACCAAACCCTTCAAAACTGCCTTTTAATAGGACATTATTACTGTTGTCTAGGTTGCAAGCTGGCTTTTTCATATTTCAAAGACGCCAGACAACAGACACTCCTTCTTCCAGAAAGAAAGTTGGGAGATAATTTGTGGAAAGGTGCTTGTTTCAGCCAAGGACAGGAGCCGTGGTGATATAGTTCCTTCACTAGATGATATTTCCTTCTTTAACTCTTGCTGTTCATTGTAACGTGATGAGGAGGGAGAAGGGAGGCTGCAACGATACCCCAGTCACCTAAACTCGGTGTGGGATTTTAGGAAAAGTGGGATGAAATTGGCTTTGACGCTAGGAATTTGCATCTTAGTATCATTTAGAAACAAAAATGGATGGGAGCAATGACCTGCAGTCTAGGGCAGCTGGGGATTTTGAGAAAGTATATTTATATATGTATGGTATCATATAACTAGATATATGCTTTATTGTATATGTGCCTTTTTCAAATGCATTTTGGAAGTTTGTGATGTCGTTCATGATATCCTACCGTACCCTTTCAGAATGCACGACAAAAACCGACCCAAAGCAAACAGCCCTTCTCTTGCGGCGTAGCAAGACAGACCCCGCTCCCCTTCCGCACCCTCTTTGCCAGCTTGACCCGGGGAGACGACCGTCTTAGTGCTTTGCCGTGAGATTTCCTGGAGTCAGCTGGCTTTTGGGAGTGGGAAGGGCTGCAGATCACCCTAGCAAAGTGCGTTCCAGGTATCCAGCCAGAGCTGGTCTCGGAGCTGGTCCCAACCAACGCAGCATCCCCAGAGCGGTGTGAGACTCGCTGCAAAAGCCCCGAGCTGCGCAGTGCCCTACGGAATGCCAGGGTAGCTGTCTCCTGTCTTCTCCCCCTCCACAGCTTTAAGTAAAGCACGC